GCAATGAGGATTACACTCAGCTAAACAAAGTACTCTTGCCTTTAAACCTACATCATCATAGACAAATCTTTCTCTCCAGGTGTTTCTTTACTAGTCTAAAAATCATCCAGCTTTTCAGAATGACTCCATTACCAGGCTGTGAACTTGCCAGGAGACTACAAAGGTGTGCGATATCAAGAGAAATCCTATTCAGCTTCCTAGGTGCAACTCCGCAAACATAATTCACTATTTCACTGACAAAAACCAACCGCTTCCTTCGGGTTTTGTAGTCAGTGCTGGAAACACACATTAATGGGCTCTGCAATCACATAATTGCTCTCTTTCCTCTAAGCCAAGTATCAGTTTCTTATTGTGGTCTGCAATAATTCAAAGGCTCAGAGATGTAAGGCCAGAACGGACTATTAGATCACCTTGACTAACTCCTGTGTACTTTCAGATTTCAAAGCTTCTTCCAGTAACCCTGTAACTGAGCCAACTCGGGTATAAATGACATTTCCCAAAACTTTTAGAAAGGTATCTGTCCTCGGCTTGAAGATATCTAGAGATACACCATTTTGGTCATTTGTTTTTTCATCACTAAAAGTTTAAGTAGATCATTTCCTATCTGAAATTATCTAACTCTTCCTTTTCTCCCCCCAACCCATTCGTCTGCAGCCAGTATTTTCTTTTTGTGAAGGTTCTTCGCATATGCGAACTGAGCAATATTTCAAGCTTCCATCATTATTGTGGATGAGTCAAACACATTAAGTTTACCAATTCCCAAAGTTACAATTACGTTACCTTTTATTTGAATCATTTCCATTTTTGCAGTGTTTGTTTTAGTGACTGAACACCAAGACAGTAGGTGATGTTCCAGTATACGTTTCAACCAACAGCATCCAGAGAAGTAAAAGCACATCTGGATTCTTATTCCTTTGGTTACAAACCAAGACATGCACTGCATTTTTTTGCCAGTTTTGCTTTGAGTACTCATGTACAAACTGTCTCCCTACTTTAATAACCAGAACCTTTCAAGGCTACTGTCCAGCCAATACTTTCAGCTTCTGCTGGCTTAAGCCACAGCTGATGCTGAAAGACAATCCTGCTAGCCTTCAGCCCAGCCTTCTCTCTTCCCTCTTTCCATCACAAGAGTTTCTGTGAAAACATGGGAGATCAAACCAGAAAATCACTCTAGCTAAAGAGTAACCTCTTCAGGTTGGCTTTCAGCCTGATCAGTATCCCTGTCTGGTAAATCACGTACCCCAAAACTGCTTTCACTGGTAGAGCAGCAGAGGAAGCCCACAGATGGGGACAACGTGCTGCACACGAAAGGTGCTTTTGTTACCGCATGCAGGCAGGCGGTACTGCAGCGCCTACTTCCCAGCTCTCTACGATTGCCTGCATTTCTGGCTATTCTTGTATGCATGTGTGCAGGCAGGCGGTACTGCAGCGCCTACTTCCCAGCTCTACGATTGCCTGCATTTCTGGCTATTCTTGTATGCATGTAACTTTGCCTTTAGTTGTATTATCATCATTTACTGCTCTACAATATCGTGACTCTGACAAATTTCAATAGCACCCATTTTACACTCATTTCTATAACGCTAGCACAATTCCTAAGAAACTCAACTAAAAAAAAACTTACTTATCATAGAATCATCGAATCGTTTAGGTTGGAAAAGCCCTTTAAGATCATCCAGTCCAACCATTAACCTACACTACCAAGTCCACACTAAACCAATCAAGGGTAGACCAGACTGAACCATGTCCCCAAGTGCCACCTCTGCCCGTTTTTTGAACACTTCCAGGGATGGGGACTCCCCCACCTCTCTGGGCAGCCTCTTCCAATTCCTGACTACCCTCTCTGTGAAGAAATTTTTCCTAATATCCCCAGTGATAGCTCTCGGTTTATAAATAAGGCAGCCAGATCTGAATCTCTTTGCCAGGTACTTTATCTTTGCCATACAATGTCTTTTTTTTTTTTTTTTTCCCTCATTCAAATATCATATGTTGACAAATCAGAAGCTTTATGAAGGTCTAAGTCTATAAATTCTATCCAATATCACTATCAAACTCATAATCTCCTCAAAACATGCAATCAGGCATTTTGAAATCTTTTTTTTCCATATAGACTGGCTGCAATTATATTCTTACCTCTTAACACCTTATTTAATTTTGCATGCAACAGTTTAAAAAAAATCAGCATTGCTATCTTCTATAACTTCTTCCAGTACCTAAATAAGACTTGTTTCATTTATTTCCTTAAAATGAATTATCTATGTGATTTGATAGGCTGCATCTCAAAAGATAACAAAATAGCCTGCTTTAACAAGCTGCTTTTTTATCATTTAACAGACAATTCTATCATTCTGGGCAATTCAGTCAGTCATTTATTCTATTGCGTGTTCATCACACCGGTAGTATTGCTGATACGATTATTTCAGATTACTACTACACAACATGTTAAAGAGATGCATTGACTTCACTGGGAATATTCAGACGAATGAACTCATGGATAGCAACAAGGAAATTGTGTCTTTGTTCAGGAAGCAAAATGATTCAATCACCGCTCAGAGCAATAAATGGAAGGAAACAGAAATGGCAGTTCTCCAGTTTTTTAATCTTTTAGCTCTTTTCACATGTTTTCAAATTCATTTAAAAATGTTACGTTACAAATTAAGATCTTTGATTTTCCTTTTTTCTCTGTAGGTGCTCCCACAAACTATATGTGTTATTACAGGGCAAAAAATAGGCCTTAGAAAAACAAATTAAAGAACGTTAACCCCAAGAGCATTTTTGCAATGGCTGCTGAATTGAACAATAAGATATTTGCCGATGCCAGTGGGCAGCTGCATAGGTGATCTCTACTCAGGATGCTCAAGGAGAGATAAGATATTTGCCGACGCCAGTGGCAGCTGCATAGGTGATCTCTACTCAGGATGCTCAAGGAGAACAGCACCAGTCGTTTGATTTTATGGCTCCCTTTCTTTGTTTGCTGCTCACAGTTTTCAGTAGACGCGCAGTATACCACTGGGGATTCTGTATGATGAGCATATAACTATACCTGTGCACATAGTTTTTAGGACTATGATGAGGCTTACTTTTCTTTTGATCTACAAATGAGCGCTCTCAACTGATGCTAGTGTTAAACAGCTTTGATACAGTATAAGCCTAGTATCTAGCTATATATATCTAGCAGGATATTTAGCTAGTCATCCATTATGGAGGGAGTGTAATCCCTGGGCTATTTTATTCATATTCTACAACCTTTAGAAACATTGAATTACACTCTACCAATTCACCAGTAGTCCTTGCTAATAATCAAGCACAAGTATTCATTCTTCTTCACCCTGAATAGATTTGGAATCTACAGTCCGATCCCAACTCATTTCTGTGGACTCCAAGCCTTGTACACCAAAGGGCAGGAGCCATCCTTGCCATCAGTGGTGGCCAGAGCAAACAAATATTTGCAATCTCTCTAAGCCATCTTAACTCCTGCTTAGGAGCTGATGTGAGTTTGGAGGTGACAGTACTCCTAATTTAGTTAAAGCATTTTAAGTACTTAGATATATTCCTCTTCAAGAAAGAGATCGAGGGATATTTTAACAACTTTTTCCCACAAAGATGAGTTTATTAGATTGACTACTCTTCAGTCTTATACCAAAGTAGAAAAGCACTAGCCTAGTCAAACCTTCCAGGTCTTCACACAGGAAATAGAGAAAGAATCAGAGTGCTAAGTCACACAGCAGCAAAGCCCAAGAAAGCTCCCAAGCAAAATTTCAAACTTCTTTGAAATTTAATAATGAGAAAAAAAAATCGATTTTGTTATCTTTTATTTTCTTGCCATAACATATCAACAATATGCTTTCAGCCTGTTCTGTTTTGGAATACAGTGCATGGAGATCCACGGAGCCAGGCACACAGAGAGAAGGTCCGACAGGGTCCCCACGAATGGACCAGCCTCCACACACTAACGCAGCGCAAAGGCCCCTGCCTGGGTGGGATGGACCTGACACATCTTGGAATACACGTCTGGCGCAAGGCACACGGGAGTCCCCTTGAACCAAGTTCTGGGCCCTACGAACCTTAGCCACTTGACGACTTAGTTTTCAGTCGGATGGAATAAATAGTAGCAACAAATAAAATCATCATTATTAGGAGAAGTTCTGCCTCAAAATTGGCTCAGAGCAGGCATCTGAGAACAATTCATCAAGCTTTTAATGGTGATCTCTTGAGTAATCAGTAACAGCAACCAGTCAGATCACACACAGCTGAGTGCATACTAACTCTCCAGAGCCAAGTTCAATTAAGACTAGTTACGTTTTGCAAAAGCTTTCCCCTTTACAGCGTTTGACGCAAGTATTTAGAATGTGTACCATACACCCAACTGCTGACCCTCAGAGCTCTCATCTGAGGAACTGTCCTGCCCTCGGGGAATTACTCAGTTTATGGCTGTGAGAACTGTCTACAGTGACAAATGGTTTCTGTAAACGTTTTTTGTGTTTCTGGGAAAAATTCAAGCTCTGTCTTGTCCCTGTTGATATTTACCTGCTACGAGTGGAGCTGGCTGAAATAATTTTGTGTGCACATGCATTTGTACGGTGGACACAGCTCATTAGAATACACGGCATTTCTAGCAGAAGCTGTTTACAGCTGCAGAATACTCATAGCTCCCATATCTTTCAAATGTGGCATTTGACAGTACTCAGCATCAGCGAAACCATACGTGTACGCAGGAAGAACAAATAGGTACAACTAAACAAACACATATTGCTATCATTTTTTAAGGAATTAGAGTTTAACTTTGTTGAGCATGCTGGTTATTCAAATACCAGTGTGATAGGTTCCTTCAAATGCTTGACATAAATGAGTGGATAGCAAAAATGAATGTGCTCCTGCAACCTTCCTCCCTCGTCCCTAGAACAATGCGTGCCATTTAGCTGAAAATGCTCCTGGGTAACTTGTATCCAGCACAGCCACTAATGTGCAATAAATCTAGTAATACATGACCGATTACTCACCTCATCAACTTGAGGATCTTGAGCCTGAGCAGCATTGGGCACTGGGGAATCACAGTCTGGGCTATAATGCTCACAATAGTCGTACGCGGCTCTGGGGTCACCTATGATCAGCAGCTGCTGGATCTCACCCTGCAGGAAAGCATATGCAGGTTCAATGACAAAATCAAAGATTGGCTACAGTTCCTCAGAAGTACAGAGTTTTCATTCAGAAAACAAAACTAGGCACATAATACTTAATCGGATAATATATTAACATTTGTGGTTATAAATAACATATCTACTTAATTTCTGCTGCTATTCTGGAAAACATCCTATTATTCTTCACATGGCAAAACAATGCAATTAATACCGAATGGACTCGGTGCAAAATTCTGGCTTAAAATGCTGTCTGCTTTGGAAAGGAGAGGGCGGGAAGGTGTAACTCCTGCTCTCTCATTTTCATGCTGTTTGTTTACTTCTTCGCTGGGAACCAGTCTAAATTCCTAAGATTTAATTCAGGGCACTTCCTATTACCAGCATGCAGCTCAGCATGCAAGTGATCAACAGTCTAATTCTGAGAGTTTGCATCACATCTGTACTCTCAAAGAAGGGAGAAAATAAAATAAAATTAAAAAGGCTGTACCAGAGACACAGTTATTGGAAGAAAAAAATAATTAAATAAGCACCGTGTAAATACACACTATAGAATATGTTGAAATAGAAATGTTAAGAGCTAACAAATGCTATTTTCATCTCTATTCCCATATATCATGTGTAAAAACAACATCACAGCAAAGAGACCCACTATGCTGGATAAGAAAAATGGCTCTGCTGAGATCCCCTACAGAGACCTCGTATGTTTATCATTTTCCACAGAAAGCTGTCTGGTATCCAGCGCATTTCTTAACATAGTGGTACCATTTAAACAGCTTTAGGTAAATTCCTGCCAACGTTTCCACTATAAATTTCCTCTTTCGGGAGCTTCTTATGCTGTCATAAAAATAAGGTTGTTGAAAATTGGCACATGTTCTTGGTCAAAACCCATTAACTTCAGTCTCTCACTATTCCCCCTGAAGGGGGAATTTTTATGCTTTTATATACTTCTAATGTAATTTTATTTTGTTTTTACCAAAAATGGGGGCAAAGGAGTAACTTTGTTAGTGTACCTGTGCATGTTTTGTCTTTAAAGAGAAAATATCACCACTGATGGAAAGGTGCAGCTGGGAAAATTCACAATTATCTCAGTATTTCCAAAATTGCTTTCCATCTCTCAGAACAGTACCCTTTAACAAATTAACAAAATTGGGGAATATTTTAAAATAGTAAAGAATAATTTGTAACACTCCTTCCTTTCAAAAAGAAAAATCACAGAAAATCAAAAAACCCTCAAACTGAAAAAAATCAAGCAACCTTCTGCAATTTTCCTAGTTCTACAATACTTCTTACTAACTTATTTAACACAAAATATGAAATGCTTAGTTTCATAGCACATAATGGCTATACACTACAAATCTGTTTTTTACAATATTGTCAACTCATTTTACTTTATAGACTCATGTGTGTCTCAGGTTAATTTAGAGTTGGAATATAATTTTTTTAAGCTTCCAGAAATACTGGAAGTTCCCCTGCCAGTGGTTCTGGACTGTCTCTTTTATTTTCCTTAGCTCACTAATGCTTCATGATTTGGATATCTTCCTATAGAACCTGCTATACGTACAGAGAAATTCCCCCTTTGATTCCTTACAGGATTCCCTCAAGAGTTTGAGTGCTTTGAGAGGTTTTAGACAGTCATTGGCAGCCTGGGCTATGCATCCCCCATCTCCAGCAAAGTGTTTCCAAAGTGATCTGCCCTTCCTCTTTCACCAGCCAAACTAAAACTGCGTGAAGCAGAGGAGTAAGTTAGAGAGAATTAGCAAGCACAAGGCAAAAGAGGTAACTCTTTTGGAGCAACCATTAGAGAGGGATGTGTAGAACCCCTGTCATAGAATCACAGAATCATTTAGGTTGGAGAAGACCTTTAAGAGCATCCAGTCCAACCATTAACCTAGCACTACCAAGTCCACCACTAAAACAATTCAGCGGAGAGTAATAATTAATTGCATGTTTCCTGGCTCAGTAGCTGGATTATTTTTTAATGAAAGTAAAAACTAAGAATCATTAAGGTTGGAAAGGATCTCCAAGATCACCAGTCCAACCGTCAACCCAACACCCCCATGCCCACTAAACCATGTCCCCAAGTGCCACGTCTGCCCGTTTTTTGAACACTTCCAGGGATGGGGACTCCCCCACCTCTCTGGGCAGCCTGTTCCAGTGCTTGACCACCCTTTCCGTGAAGAAATTTTCAGTAAAGAAATTTTTGCTAATATCCAATCTAAACATCCCCTGATGCAACTTGAGCCCATTTCCTCTCGTCCTATCACTAGTTACTTGGGAGAAGAGCCCAACACCCCCTCACTACACCCTGCTGTCAGGTTGAGCTCAGGTTATTGCCTTGCTATGGGCCCCTGAACACACACGGCTTTCTGAGATGCCCACAGAGAGCACCACGTATGCAGTACGCCAGCTAGTGTGAGTAATGCCAGAACTGCTCCCGAAACTACTGCTGTGGAGTACGATACGCTAAGAGAAGCCAGGTGGGGGAATACAGCCAGCATTGTGGAGCTTGCTTTGTGGTGATCTTGAATGTCATGGAATTTTGGCACTGGGTTTTGTCGGACTGTGTGTTTGCAAGAAGCACTCAGCATGCTGTTACCACTTGGCTTAGATGTCCCTAAATTGGTTAAAGCTGTTCCCGATCCATTGACTGTACTTCCCAGCCCCTCCCGTCTGCCTGTCGTGGGTCCACATCCTGGGAGGCCCTCAGAAGCCTTGCACCGTATACATAAATTGCTACTGGCTACTCATGTGTGAGAAGTTTACCGAGGAACTGATTGATTTTACATTGGGCATCTCAAATGTTAGTTTTCCTCCTTTCCTTCAACATCTGCTATAAAAACATTTCCAGTAAATGATTGTTTTTCTATTTTTTGCTTTTATTTTCTGTCTTTGCGAATTAAATGGCTTCTTTGAGCATCTGTATGTGATGTATTGGCAGTGCTGTTTCACTAGGCAGTGAAGAGCGTTCATTTCAGATCAGGTCAGTCGCCGCAGCACGTGAAATTCCACATACACTATTGCAGATTTCATCGTTGTGATTTAGTTATCATTCTAAGGTATTTGTTGGACAAATCTACACTCTTTGAGAATTTCTCCCAGAACAACTTCAGTCTTCACAAACACATTCTTTAACTGCTTCACTTCGTGAGGCTGAAATCCAATTTTATACAGCTCTTTGCGAATATGCTACAAATACTTATTCTGTCCATACTTCACAACCTGGAGTCATAAATTATGCACTATCCGAACAAGTCCCAAGAACTTTAAATGAAAATATGGATAAACGGAGTCATGGGTTATCAACAATTCTAACAGTTGGTCTCTAAAACAACACTGAGGTATGTAAACATATATGCATATGTGCATAATGTTATATGGAAACTGCAGGAAAAAAGGATATCTTACAGGATGATGAAAGCAAGAGAGGGAGAACAAAGGTGGGCACGGAGACAGGAGAACAGAGTAAAATTTACAAATACACCTGAGCATCCTTAAGTACTCTGAAAAGTGCACAGAGGGGAAAAAAAAAGTACAAAAGGCAGCTGTCTATATAGATTAATTCTATTTCCTTCCCTATGAAATCGTGATGACCACCTTTGTTGGGAAAGACTGCTCAGGCAATTTCACAAAGTCGACAGATGATACATAGCGTGTTATACAAGCCAAATGTTTGATGTCTCTGCTGAGCCAGTCTTCCACCATGATTTGATGTCGGAGATAAGTGGGATGACAGTAGAAGGCAGAGAACTTGTGGTGAGGTATCAGATATACACAGCCACTTTTTCATCTTATTACTTATAACAGCGTGCATGCTTAACTTGCCCCCCGAAGTGCTAAAAGCCTATTTAGCACTTAAGAAGAAAAAACTGCTGCCTTATAACAATTTTTTATCCCGGATAACACTTAATACAATGTATTTTAAACAGTGGTTATCAGATATTTAACATCACTTGCATATTAGGGATGAGAAAGCTGAGAGCTAGGTCTCTGCCTTAGTTGCCCCGAGGTGAAGGGGAACATCCAGCAAGGTATTCAAGCATACCTAACGTTAAGCACACAAGTACCGCTTGTAAGTAAAACAGATCAATTTGGAGTCTTAATATTTAGTTTGGATCACAAATACATTATTGAAATAGTCACTAAGTTGTTGCTAAAGCCAACATATAACTCACGAAGTCAATGCATAGTTGAGTAATTAATCTCAAAATGGAATAAAAATAGTTAAATACTATGAACGTTTTAATTCCTCTCTATTTTGGGAATGTGCTCATAATTAAAATCAGAGGCTTCTGAATCAGCCTCATGGTTATATGAAGAAAGCTGCCTGAGAATCAGAAAATATCTCGCCCACCAGTTATGCCTAGCATGTAAACATGGTACGGAAGGATTACTTCTGTAGCACCAGCCTAAAAGGTACTCAACCAAATAAGCTACTCTTTGCAGAATCCTCCAAGACTATTAAAAGGAGTTAATTAGATCTGAAGAAACATTCGCTTCTTTGGGGCATGCCACAGCAAATGTGGAAAACCAGGCTACGGAGCCACAAGGAGAATCTGCTCCCATCAGCTGAACGCTTGCCTACCGGCACGGCTGCGCAGACGTCCACTGGAATTAACCGTTCCACAACGGGGAACAGCCCAGCTAAGAATGAGAACTGTGTGGTGAACTCAGTCACTGCAAATTCCTCTGTGAATCTCACAGGCATGCCATGGTGACATTCTAGAAAGTTTACGCTTATGTACATTTCCAGGATTTGTTGAAAAACACACCTCACTAAGTAGTAATGCACAAGGTGGGGTATCCACGCTGAACACGTAGCTTCTTGATAGGAAAACAGTTTGCAACACTGAAAAAATACAGGGTTGGCTAACAAAAGAAGAAAATGGAGACCCAATCTGCAGGAAAGCAGTAGACTACCAAGTTCTACTTCCAATTTTACTGACTTTCTCTTGATGCAATTATTGCTTTGGTTCGCCTCAGGGTAGTAATCGCTG